TCTAAATTGTTAATTAGATCGATAGAAGTCTCCATCTAGCGTTGCACCAAGTTATGAAAAATTACGCTTGGTTATAGAAACTCTTTTCATTACAAAACAAAGCATAAACAACAACACACACAATAAGTTTGTAAACAACTTTCGATATTAAGCCTAACTGGTAGATTAATTTGAACTTCACAAGTTTACAAAGCTCCTTATGAGGAAATTTCGCTGAGTTGGCTTAGGCCATAACCCTAGAATGTTTTGATAAGAGTCAAGCTAGTACGAAAGAACTGCGAAAAAAAAAAGAAACTGGTTTAAACGTCTTTCGTTTCGTTTAGTAATACAGTTGCAATAATATGTTTTAAAAGAATGCAGTCCTTTGTTGATTGACAAGTTTTTTGGTACTTGTTACCGTTTCTCGGAACAATAACGGAAAGTCCGTCTTGAAACTCTTCGCATTTCTTTAAACAAATAGTAGACACCAGTGGCTTACTACACTCATACTACAAAGGCGAAAAACGAAGTTGGAGATGAACGTATATAATTTTCTGGTAAGTCGAAATTCTCATATAAACTAATAAGGAATACGAATATTTTGGCTTTCTTATGTGATTAATATATACTGAAATGTTTACCGACTTCAGGTGAACATGTATGCTAATTTCAATTACACTATTGAATTTATTAAATGTTAATTGCCAAATCTAATGCTAACACACCAAGTGGTTTTCTCTCTCTAGTTAGATTATACTTATACAAAGAAATAGTTACATTGGCCTTTTATTACAACATATATACTTTTTCTCTGATACAGATGCTTCTCATTGTTGCCGCAACAATGAAGAGTGTTAAATGTTGGTCTATAGAAAACCAGAGTCCTCTGCTTTACAATCTGCCCCCTCCAATACCGGTCAACTGCTCTGAGGATGCGACGTATTGTGAGAATGTTGAGTATTACCCGGAGTGAGTATAATTCTTACTCAGCTCACTAACAGGCACATATATATATATATATATCATTGCTTTTTCACACGGATGGCAATAATGTTGTTAACTAAATTAAGTATGGAAAGTGTAATTATTATAGATTTCATGTAAGTGATTTTCAAATCAGAATTTCGATGAGGATTAATAACACATTATTATTTATTCATTTATTTTCATTATTACTTTTACTTGAATTTACTTTACTCTCATTCATGAGAACTGGCAAGAAAGTTATTGGGCCAGATGTGGCTTTCTGGTTAGTTTACCCGGACTGTGAATTTGAAAACTCCTGGTCCGCGTACCCTTGCTGTGAAAAACAACAATAACAACAACAACAAAATAACTCGCTTCTGATGTCACCCAAAGATACTATGTAAACGTATTATTACGTATATTGTGGTCGATACATTTTGTTGTTGTTTTTCGTAGTTATTGAATCGTTCTTTTTTCCACTGTTGTAACGTTATTATTATTATACAAAACTTTCTTGCTAGTTTAAGGTTTATTATTTCTTTCTTATAACCTAGAAAATGGCTTAGATCCAAAATTGAGATAAATATTTTACACTATCACATGTTTCTTTTAATATTAAAATAAGTAGTAAAATAAATACAAAAATATTTACAGATAATATTTAAAAATATATTTAAAAAAATACAAGTTTCAGGAATATGTATTAATAGATTTATTTTGTATTGGACAGAAATAAACATAATTGACAATATATATTTTGTTGCATTAAATTTTCTATACATAACGTCAACAGGGACCTCATCGCATGGGCTGTTGGGACGAAGTATCGTGAATTCTTTCAGCAGTCTGAGCGAGTATCTGAACCACCATTGAGAAATGAAAGCGATGTTCTAGTTTGTGATGGAAAAAAGCTAACTGTCTACCCTAAAGCAGTCAAAGATGAGGAACGTAATTGGCAGTACCTTGTAAACACCGTCTACCATCGCCAACCAATTGAAGTTAATAAATGCAGGTAAGAAGAAATATTTTATTTCACTTTTAAATATTTGTTGTTAAGGTGGAAAAAACTCCTTACCGAAACGTTACACCTTAACACACCACGGTGGGTCAGTGTTAAACTTCAGGTTTATACATTGAAATTCATAGTTCGAACCTTGTTGTGGGCACAACACAGGTCGCTCATTGTGTAGCTTTGCGCTTAATAACAAAACAAATAAATGTTCCATCTTTTATCTTTCTTTCATTTCCCGTTTTTAGCCATTTTAAAACTGCTAATATTTTAAAAAAAGATACTACAACTGCTAATATTGCAACAGAAAAAAGGTACTAAAATTCCTAATACTATATCAGAAAAGGGATACTAAAACTGCTAATATTTAAACAGAAAAAAGTACTACAACTGCTAATATTGCAACAGAAAAAAAGGTACTAAACTTCCTAATACTGTTCTTTTGTACAACTTTTGAAACGTTATATGACAAAAAAAGGAAAACATATATAAGTACCAACTCTCAGTTATGCAATACAAATAATAATAAATATCCACCACAATACACAGGGTTTGGGGCAAAATCAGTTGTGAATCAATACTCTTGTAGTATAACTAAGTTTCGATGTTGTGTAAATTGCTGTTGTGTATATACAGTTTTCTTCGGATGATAAGTACTCGCAAGTTTTGTATTTCTTTACATTGATACGAAACGGAAAAGAAAGCTTTATACAGCACCACTGTGTAGGAGTTGATGAATAAGTGTAATTGAAACACAAGAAAGTATGAAGCAGGTGGCAGCACTGCCTATGTAGGGATGGCTCGGATTATTCATCGAACTGGTATTTTAAATATCTCCTCAACAGGTCATCAGAACTTTACAATATTACATAGTGTTCACTTTTATAACAATATCTATCTAATGACTGAGTCACAAGTTCTGGGAATGTCTGTAAATATCTTAGCAAAAAGTTTGAATTTCTTGT